TAGACATAAATGTTGGAGCCATAGTTTTGCTGGTTTTTCCCAATGTGATTGACCCCCACATGCCGCATTCAAATCAATATGCAAACATATTATGACTAATGCGTGCCAACACTTTGATAGTATCCCACAAATCACTTTTAATTAATTTTCTTTAGAATGCCAATTTTCTTTAATATTGGACAGAAATGTGAGGAACAATTCAATAATATTGTTACAAGTCTTGTGTTCTTGAAAGCGGATAAAATTTCTGATTTGAAATGGAAACAGGTACGGATTCTTGATAGATGAAATAAAATTGATTTGTCTAAGAAAATAAGAACAAGTATAATATATCACTTAATCCATTCAATGTTATTGAAGTGATAAAGACACACCATATAAAAATTAGTTTCTTTACAATAATCAAGCTGCTTTAATCCTTTCGCAACGGGAATGTTTTCTGCAGAAATGACCCTGCTGTACGAGACGCCGCCCAAGTATTTATTACACAAAATATTTTAAAATTTTCCAATCATTATAAAAATATAGTTAAAAACTAGAAAATAACACTTCTGAAAAACTAAAAACCACAATAAAAATTACAATTTTCAATTATTTCGATACACTGTATGTCGGCTATAGGCGTACGCATAGGTTGTCAAGAAAAATGGTTAAATGGTTAAATTTATATCTCCTATTCTAATTCATTTTACAAGGAGTAGGATATTTCAAATATAATCATGTTACATACATAATTGTGACATTTCACAGAATCACATGACTCGGCTTAAAGAGCACATACTTCTCAGGTAAAAAAATGGCTAAATAACCTTAAAATTAATGATAGGTAGATCTGGAAAAAATCTTAAAATTTTTGGGCCGGTTCTGCCACACAACAGACCAATGGTATGGCAAGGCCATGTTACGCTCCAACTTCCATATATTACGCTACTGAATCATATTGTCAAAATGTCATGTATTTGCTGTGTATTCAGGCGTTTTACACATAAACTGGAATATCACTTGTTTGTTATGAAGCTGGGTCAGAAAGATCTTGTTATCTAAGATTGTTTTTTGATATTTGTGCGGTTTCTAGGTTACGTTTTCTATCTGACATTCAGAAAAGCGCCTGACTGCACAGCTACCACATGGCTTTTGTCAATAATTAGTATAGAAAGTTCTTCATAACATAGCCTTGCAATAACATTGGTCTGTTGTGCGGCAGAATCGGTCTATTAATGTTACTTTTACTCACTTTTTTATTATATAGTAATTTTTACACCTGTCCTGAAACACAAGGACAACAAGTAAAACTGTAGAAAAAAATGACTTTAAAATACAAAATCTTCTGACCACTATCAGAGATTTTGAAAATTGGCATGATTTAATGTAATATGAATTTCTTGTTTAATCTTGCCCTGGTGACATAGTTCTTTGGCAAGTGAGTTTAGATGATCCTCGAAGATCATCCAAATGATTTGCAACTATTATGTTAAACTCACCAGCACTCAGGTACATTCCAGACAGAAGACTGCCAACCCATGCAACCTTTCCTTTGCCTTCTCCGAAATACAGAACGAATTCGCCAAGAAAAACGCCGAATGTGTAAGCGATGCCATCTACGATCATGTTGCACATAAATGAGGCGAAAACGACAACCCAACCGTAACCTCCGTCAGGCGGAGGCGGCACGTCGTGGTACTCGCAGTACGACATCGATTCCTCTTCGGCGCATTGCATCGCCTCCGCGGTCAGCCGAGCCGCTTCTTCGCATGCTACTTCGCTATCCGTCTGGAAAAAGAGAATATATTCGTTAATAATTTGGTTTGATAGAAAAATTTATTTTAAAAAACTGAAAGTTTAGAAAACTAACTTAGAAATAACAATACACCTTACAAAACATTTAAATAACCTATACTTGAAAATTATATTCAGGTATCATAAACTAAATACAGAGCTCAAGAGCAAAAAAACTACAAACAAAAAAAGCTTTTGGTATGAATATTGATACATTTCCATTTATCTCCTGATATCCTGATATCGACAAAGAATTATGGTGATGGTTGGTTACACATCTTTTGCCTTCTACTTTGAAATAGTATCATCAAAATATCTATACTTTGCTTGTTTTGGAGATTTGGTGATAGTGGGACTTTTTACACATGGATCTTTAAGACCTGCTCTACCTTATTTATCATACAAATCATATATGAAACTTCCATTAATTAACTAAACTCCTAAACTTGGATCAAAGACTATATTCTGTTCCCATAATCTATGGATGGTAATTTGTATTTTTTTAAACTAAGAGTTGGTAATTAAGTCATAAGCAAAGTAAAATCGTTTACCTCCTGATATCGATTTCCAAAAATTAAGATGATGGTTGGTTACCCATCTTTTGCCTTCTACTTTAAAATAGTATCATAAAAAATATCTATACTTTGCTTATTTTGGAGATTTGGTGATGGTGGGACTTTTTACACATTGATCTTTAAGACCTGCTCTACCTTATTTAACATACAAATCATACTTGAAATTTCCATTAATTGACTAAACTCCTAAACTTAGATCACAGACTATTCTGTTCTCATAATCTATGGATGATAATTGGTAATTTTTCAAACAAAAATCTTGTAATTAAGTCATAAGCAAAGTCAAATCGTTTATCTCCTGATATCGACTTCCAAAGATTAAGGTGATGATTGGTTACACATCTGTTGCATTCTACTTTAAAGTAGTATCATTAAAAATATCTGTACTTTGCTTTTTTTGAGATATTGATGGGACTTTAAACAGATCTTTAAGGCCTGCACTACCTTATTTATCACAAAAATCATACTTTAAACTTCCATTAATTAACTGAACTCCTGAAATGAGATATGTTCCCATAATCTATGGATAATAATTGGTATTTCAACGATCCTGCACTAGAATGTCAATACAAATGAAATACTTACAATTTTTATGTCTAGCGAATTTTTTTAATATTATTTTGTTCTAGCAAATATCAATTGTTATATACAGATTAATAGATAATTTTATTAGCTTTTTAATGATATAATAACATTTGTATGCATTAAAACAATTTTTTAATGAAATAACACAAAACTAAAAAAGTGTCACCAACGTTCTTATTAACTGCACCAGAATGTCAATACAGATGAAATTTATACAATTTTTATGTTTAGAGATATTTTTAAATATTATTTTGTTCTAATAAATATCAATTGTTATATACAGATTTATAGATAATTTTATTAGCTTTCTAATGACATAATAAAATTTGTATGCATTCAAACAAATTTTTCCTAAAATAACACAAAACTAAAAAAAGTGCCACCAACGTATTGAGTTGACTAATCAGCACGTCTACCCATCAATAGGAATCGAATATCTTTTGAATCAATCAAATCGGTTAATCCGTGCTCCCGAAATCGTCTTTTCTAAAGTGGAAAAATTGTATCCACACTGTATCTATTTACTCAAAAGTAAGCCAAAATGTTCAGAAGGCTTTGAACCGTAAAGATATGCAATAATTTTAATTTTCTATTTTTTTTGCGATTACTATAACTTACCCTACGGGAAGTTAATAATTTGGCATTTTTAATATAAAAATTCGAAATATTTTATTATTTTATGAATAAAAATAATCGAAGTGGCTGCAAGTGTGCAAAGCTCACGCTCAAAAATTTTAATTAATGGGAAAGGTATAATAGGTTCGCATCATATGATGGTTTATAAAACAGAATTTACAACCGCAATTCGTGCCGGATTATAAATGTATGCTAAACAATATAAAAAATTCCATAACAAAATTGAACATTTATAAGTCGATATGTTTATATTATTAAAAAAGTGTTTCTGGACCACGTGAGAACATTTTTGGAGATGCCAAGATTTGAATTACTGTTATGCGAATTAAATATAAATGAAATACGCTAGCAGGCGTTTGTATATACATCATGGAGTATTTCATAATCTATAACATAAATTTCGTTGTTATTTCATAGGCGTGTAATAGTAAGCGTAGATAAATAATGGAGCAAAATGTTGTACACAATCGGAAATTATCAAGAAGTCACATAGTATGCACATACATGTAATGCTATATTTTGTCGGTTTAATATTTCACTTATGATAATTCTGCATTTTATAATTGTTATTGTTTTATTATTCGCCCGACCGTCCATCTATATCCTGACAACGAGTTTCCAAAACATTTCCTTACAAAAGTACAGATGAAAATTTAAATAATTTGCTAAAATCCACTCGAGAAAATTGCTAGTATCCCGTAACATAAATTAGTTCAAAGTTGATTTTAACCTCAGGTGCGGTCAGTTATAGAAATCGCAAAAAAAAATTGAAAATGATAATATTTGTATATATTTACGTTTCAAGCATTCTGAACATTTTGGCATACATCACAACGTATGTGTATGTGTATGATAAATATGTGTACGTTTATGTATGTGTGTGTGCGCGCGTATGTACGTGCGGATACAATTTTTAACTTCCCATAGGGCAAGTTATAGTAATCGCAAAAAAATCGAAATCGAAAATTTTTATATATCTTTACGTTTCAGAGGTTTCTGAATATTTTGGCATACCTCAGAAAAAATGGATGTATGTGTGTGTGTGTGTGCGTGTATGTATGTGCGGATACAACTTTTCGTTCAACATTTCGAGAGCACGGATCAACCGATTTGAATGATTTAAAAAACATTTGATTCTTTTTCGAAGACGCAAATTTTTGGCAAAAGGCAGGTCCATCCGTTTCAAAGATACGGGGCAAAAAGTGCCAAAAAGTCAAATCAGTTTGTGAGAAACCGAAGCGTCTGATATGAATGATTCAAAAAACATTTTACTTGTATTAACAAAATGAATAACTGATTAAATTTTTAGGAAGGCAGGTGGAGCGGTTTCGGAGATCCAATAACAATGTTTAACAAAATTCCATTTGGTGGTCAAATATGGTCATTACACATATGCACATCAAATTATCATATATTTATTGAGATTTTATTAACAAGTATAAATTTTGTTTACATTTCTATGGGTTCCGTACCAAGATTTATAATGTTTAACCGGAAGACTGAAGACTTTAAAAGATGTTCAAAAAAAATTTGAAATATTTTCAAAATTTTCAGAAAATGTTAAACAAAATCTAAAATTTTCAGAAATTTTCAAAATTATCAAAAAAAAAAAAAATTAAAATATATGAAAACTGAAAATATTTATAAATATATAAGACATTTAAATTTATAAATATATGAAAAATTTATTTTTTCAAAATTTTCGAAGAATTTAAAAAAGAAATTTTTAAAAAATATAATAAAGCTTTTTTTAGCAATTTGCCTTAAAGCACGATGCCGTGCACCACTAGTTTTATTCAACGTTTCGGGAATAAAAAATGTCGCACTTTTGAGTAAATTAATGACTAATCTTTTTCCAATTCAAACGCTCAATACTCATCAAAATTCACTAAAAACAATATGTTGGAAAATTCATCGGAAAACTGCGTGTTCTTTTAGAATACAATTAAATTTTTTTTTTTACCCGAATTTAATTTCGAGTTAGTATCTGCGCCTAATAAAATTTATATCATATATCATAAAATGAATTTTCATGTGTTGATAGTATTTAAGCACGAGATAACGTGCAACTAAATTATTAGGTGCAATTAACTCTTAATGGTGATAGGTTTTTTTTAATTTAATAAAAAGGTTTTTATTAAAATATCACTAAAATTATTTTTATATATCTAGCAATATTATTGATATTGCATATGATATCTAGCGATTGCAAAATAATATTTTAATAGTATAGCAAATATACTGAGTCTCAGGCGCATTATTGCAGCCTCTATTGAAGAATGCATTCGACATTCAAAATATAAATACATTAGCATAGATATTGAAAAAATATGTATTTTTCAAAGAAATTTATCATTCACACCTGTATTATGAAGTAAAGATTGAACAGAAATTTAAAAAATATTAATTTTATGTACAAAATGACTTCACGTTTTCCACTCATAGTACTGACAATCAAATTAGTGAAGCACAATCAATACATAAAACAAATTGCGGACATCTCAATTGTGAAAATATCTTTGATATATAAAAAATCCACTATATTAACAATTCTTATCTCATATCTGTAATACTTAATCTGAATTCTTATGTTTAAATCTTCAAACCATTCATAATCATATAATCAATCATTATTTTCAATGATTTTTGTTTTGCATCTTCCATAAATCCTACTCTATCTATTTTCAAGGCTTTTTAAAAATCATTATATATATATATATATATATATATATATATAATTCTTGTATCACGTTGTTAGTCGCAATAGTTCTCCGGAACGGTTTGACCAATATTTATGAATTTTTATAATCATGTTCAGTATGACTCAAAATAGGACATCCATTTTTCAAACCCTTAAGTGATACGAGCCACCCTTAAGATTTTTCCAATTTCTTTTATTTTATTTTTTGTATAATTTGCAGATAAGACACCTACAGCCCTTAATTTTGACCCATCTAACCTCAGACTCATATTTTATAATAGTCATTTTAGTAATCAAATCATTTATCACCCCATTGGCAGCCAATCATTTTTTTCACTATATTTTAATCTTAGAAAAACTGTTTTTTCACTTTATTTTAAGCTTAAATTTTTGCTTCAAAAAGCAATTTATTTTTATCAAGGGTTTTCCAAACATAACATTTTTATTAAATTTACGATCAATTTTTTGTGTTTGAATTGTTTATAATGCGGAATTGA